CCTGAGTAGCAGGGATTACAGGCACGTGCCACCATGCCCAGCTAATTTTTTGTGTTTTTAGTAGAGATGGGGTTTCACCATGTTGACCAGGATGGTCTCGATCTCTTGACCTCGCGATCCACCCGCCTCGGCCTCCCAAAGTGTTGGGATTACAGGCGTGAGCCACCGCGCCCGGCCCTCTTCAGTATGTTAATTGAATTTCTCAGCTCCAGGATTTCTGCTTTTTAAAATTATTTCAGTACCTTTTTTATATTTCTCTGATAGGATTCTGAATTCCTTCTCTTCTCTTAAATTTCATTGAACTTCTACAAAACAGCTATTTTGAATTCTTTGTCTGTAAGGTCATGTAACTTTGTCACTCCAGGGTTGGTTCACTGGTGCCTTATTTAGTTCATTTGGTGAGGCCATGTTTTCCTGTATGGTCTTGATATTTGTGGATGTTCACTGATGTCTGGGCATTGAAGAATTATATATTAATTGTAGTCTTTGAACAGTGTGCTTGTTTGTACCCATCCTTCTTGGGAAGGCTTTCCAAGTATTCAAAGAGAATTGAGTGTTGTGATCTCAGTCTTTGGTCACTGCAGTGTGTATCTGCATTAGGGGGGCACCCCAAACCCAGTAACGCTGTGACTGTTGCATACTTGTAGAGGTACTGTTTTGGTGGTCTTGGGTAAGATCTGAGAGAATTTCCTGGATTACCAGACAGACTCTTTTTCTCTTTCTTTTGCCCAGACAAACAGAGTCTCTCTCTCTCCATGCTAAGCGGTCTGGAGCTGGGGGTAAGGTTACACAAGCCCCTCTATGGCTACCACCACTAGGACTGCACTGGGTCAGACCCAAAGCTAGCACAGCCCTGGGTCCTTTCCAAGTCCAGCAATGACCACTGCCTGCTTACTGCTAGTGTTCACTCAAAACCCAAGGTCTGCACAGTCAGTGGCCTTTCTTTCAGGGTGGCAAGCTCCTCACTAGCCCAAGGAAGATCCAGAAATTCTATCCAGGAGCCAGGGCCTGGAGTCAGGAAACTCAGAAATCTACCTGCTGCTCTGTTCTGCTGCGACTGAGCTGGCGAACAGAGCAGGCACCCAAGCTGCAAGACAAAGCCCTTCTCAGTCTTTTTTTTTTTTTTTTTTTTTTT